GTCGCGCGTCACGGCGGGCGGCGCGGGCGGCGGCGCGGGCGCGGGCTCCGGCGGCGCGTCGGCCTCGTCCTCGGAGCTCAGGGGCTCGTCGTCGTCGTCGTCGTCGGGGAGCGGGGGCGGCGGGCGCGGCGTCGGGGCCTTGCGCGAGGACTTGGACGACGCGGACGCGGATTCCGACGCGGCGTCGTCGCCGGCGCCGGCGGGCCGCGGGCTCGACCGCCGGGGGCTCCGGGCCGGGCTCCGGGGGCTCCGGGGGCTGCCGGGGCCCGCCCGGGGGCTCCGGTCCCGCCGCCGCGACCCGCTCCCGCTCGAGGCCTTGCTCGCGTCGTCGTCGTCGTCGTCGCGGTCGACCCGGGCCCGCGGCGCGCCGGCCCGCGCGCCCTTGGCGCCCTTCTTCTTACCGACGCGCGGCGACGCGGCCGCCGGCCGCGCCTCCTTACCGCTCGGCTCCTCGGCGAGGGCCTTGGCGACGGCGGACCCCGGCGCCTTGCGCTTCCGCTGGGGCGCGATGGGCGACGGTTCCTGGGCCCCGACGTCGCGCATGGACGCGAGGATCGCGAGCCGCAGGGACCCCATGGTCCTCGAGCCCGGGGGGGCGGGGAGCACGCGGGAAACGCGCGCAGGCTCGCGCGGGGGGGCGTCGAATGCGGACTGGGTTCCAGCCAGACGGCTGAGGGCGACGCGCGGCGCGGTGCAACATGCAGACGTCGGATTTGTTGCCGCGCATCGCCGAGCAGCCAATAGGAGCAGCCCCGGCGCTCGCAAATCTTCCGACGCGATGGACGCGCACGCCGCGGTGCGCCGCGGCCGCAAGCGTCGGTCGCAGCGGAGCATCTTCCAGAGCAGCGTGCGGCGCTACGTGGGCGTCGCCGAGGGCGGGCTGCTCGCCGTCGCCGCCAGCGCGGTGCTCATGTACGAGACGTCCTGGGTCGACGCGGTCTACTGCGCCTCCGTGACGCTCACGACCGTGGGCTTCGGCGACGTCTGCCCGTCGTCGCCGCGGAGCCGGCGCGGCGCGGTCGTCGCCTTCGCGTGCTTCGGCGGCTTCGTGGGCGGGCCCGCGGCGTGTCGGTACCGCGAGTGGCTGGGCCTCGGCGCGTCCGCCGCGGCGAGGGACCTCGCGGCCGCGCTGGTCGCCGGCGCGGTCGTCCTGTCGCGTCTGGAGGGCTGGGACCTCTACGACGCATTGTGGTGCTGCGTCTGCGTCGCGTCGACGGTCGGCTTCGGCGACGTCGCGCCGGCCACGGCGCCGGGCCGCCTCTTCTGCGCCGCCTACGCGCTCGCCGTCGTCGCGCTCGCGGGCGACGTGCTCGGCGACGTCGCCAAGAATTGGTTCTTCCGGGGCCGCGAGCGGCGCTACGCGGTCCTGGGGCTCGCGGCGGCGGCGGCGGCCTTTTGGATCTCCGGCGCCGTCGACGCGCCCGCGGACGCGGCCTACTGCGCCGTCGCGACGTTGACGTCCGTGGGCTACGGCGACGCGTGCCCGCCCGTCGAGCCGCGGCCCGCGGCCCTCCGGTGCGCGCTCGCGCTGCTCATCTACGGCTTCGCGGGCCTCGTCCAGGGCCCGCTCCTTGGGAGTTTGGCGCGCTGGGCCGCCGGCGCGCGGCCGGCCGCGGTCGCCGCGGTTTTGGCCGCCGCGGGCGCCGCGCTCGGCGCGCTCGAGGGCTGGCCGCCGGCCGACGGCCCCTACTTCGCCTTCGTCACGGCGACGACGCTCGGCTACGGCGACCACGCGCCGCTGTCGCCGCGCGGCCGCGTCGCCGCGGCGGCCCTCGCGCTCGGCGCCGTCGGCGCGGCGCCGGCCGTCGTCGACGCGGCCCACGCGACGCTCGCCGACGCCGCGCGGGCCCTCGCCGGCGTCCGCGACGACGCGCCGCGACGGCCGAAGAAGCGCGTCTGAGGGTAGTTGCTGTAGACCCCTTGGCAGGAACGATAGAGGCAACGTGACGCAAACATCCCATCAACGTGAGGCTCAGCCCGGCGCCTTCAGTCGAGGCACGCTCTGCTTCGGGCGAGAGTA